GAGGTCTTCGCCATTACAGTGATTCCTAACTCCCAAGGCACGATTTTTAAAATCTGGTGGCAGTTTCGGGGGCTAGAGTATTCTTTCACGATGTTGTTCCTCAAGTAGGTGGAACACAAAGCCCTAGAAACTCTCAGGTACTTAGATGTCACTATGAAAAAAGTCACTTTTTTTGCCACAGACTAGGAGGTGAAACCCATTATCAAAAGTAAATGCATAATCTCCCTTTCTATTGGTCACCTCTTCCAGGTTAGTGAATTTTTAAAATAAGTTCTTAGAAAATGTTTTTATGTAAGTCCCTGATGGGAGCCTTTCTTATCAAAATAACTTCCAGAACATTTATAAAAAGCCTCTTTTTCATGCATAGTTTTAGATTTTGGTACAAAATGAGAGTACCAGAGATACATGTTTTTAAAGTTTTAAAGAAAAGCTTTAAGTGGGTAGGGCAGCACTTTAAATGAATGATTAAAAAATCTTTTCTTAGAACATTTTATCCTAGCCTAGCTTTCTCTGCATTTGCCAAGGATTGTTTACTCCCTGACACACGTTTTTACATAAACAATGTGTAGAACAAAAATACTGTATTTGCCCATCATGAGATGTGTATCACTTGGCAAAAATTTGATGTGTCTGTCTAATTTTGAGAAGAAGATCATCGGTGCTTTAAATAAAATTGGGTGTATTTATTATAAGAATCATATTAAGCTAATTACATCGGTCTTCCTAATGTACTGATCAACAGAGTTAATGTAATCTGCTAAGAGTTTGAAAACCTTTGGACTCCTTCAAACCCAGGTGTATCTTCAAACCCAGGTGTATAGTATTTCACTGTTGTATGTTCTGTCCCTTTACACTCCTAAGCTTATAATCAATTTTTCTAGGTTAGGTGATGTAAGAAATCAACAAGAAATTAGCTAATATCAAATAAGGTTATAATCTGGCCCTTTTGAAGCACAGCTTTACATTTGAGAATTTTCAGATGATATGAAATTTTTGTCAGCTATTAAATGCATTTTTTAAAAATTCCTATTGATTGAAGATGCAGACTTCAATGTTTTCTCCAGTGGAGTTAATGAACTGAATGAAAAATATCTCATTAATTTCTTGAGCCCCCTTGTGAGGCAAGAAAATGACATTCTCATCTAACAGCTGGAAAAACTGAAGAACTAGTGAATGTAACTGCACTCAATTGCAAAGGAAAATAATAGTTCTAATACAATACCCTGAGATGTAGATATGAAAGAATACTGCATACACACACATTCCCTCTCTTATTTTTAAGGAATCAATACCTGTGTCTTAAAGTATGAGGATAGTTAAACCCTTGGATCTTGGCCCTATACCTTTTGGCAGAGTAAATTATTGCCTCATGGCCTGGCAGTGCATTTGCCCTTTTAATTTACTTTTAAATAGCTTTTCCCTAATCTATAACCTAAGATCCGGCCAATCGTGGATCTTCAGTAAACTTTTTAAAAATCTCTTATTCTATAGATATTTTAACTGTAAAATTTTAGGAAATAATAACTCTTTGCAAGGTACATTGAGACACTAATTGGGAGGTAAAACAGAACGAATTTGAATTGACTTGTAGTTTCACAAAAATGAATTTGACATTTCACTTAAAATTTGCAAACCATCATATAGTTTTGAGTTCTTCTGAATTTATTTGTTTTGCAAAAAAGTGGAATGTTTCACTTAAATGGAAATGCCCTCAAGTTACTTCCAGGATTGTTGTAGGATTGATTTTTCTAGGTTAAGGGAATGCGAAAGTTTGGTGTTTTATATGCATTCTTCTTCTTCTTCTTCTTCTTTTTTTTTTTAACAAATCATTATCCTTTTTTCTTAAATGGGTTTAGGACATCCCCAAACAAATCAGGAAAATGTAACATCATTTCAGTATTACCAACATAGGGCTTTGTGTAATGACTGTGACACCATGACAGTGAAGTATTCATTTTTAAGCTTTAAACAGAGAAAGCTTTACCTCAGTGTGTCCAATAGAAATACAATATGTAAATTAACCCATATTATCTGTATGCTGATTGGCTTGAGTTCCCCCGAATGTCACAATCTCACCACCCAGCAATGAGGTATTTTACTGCTGTCTGGAGATCAAATTATTACTGTAGAGAAGGTCTTTATTTTTTCTGTTTCATTAACAGATTATTATAAAGCAATAAGCAAGAGAGAAGAGAAGCAGACGTTTTACATTAGGAATTGATGAAAGCATATCTGTTCGTTTTTTGGAGGTGGGGAGTTGATTAAAATCTTATAACACCCCCACAAACAAAACTCTTCGGAAATGGTAAAATAAGGAAATGCATGATTCCAGAGACATCCCTAAGCACTCAATTGTCAGGCTATGTGGTGCCTTGTGATATCAGCGGACCTTTTGGATGGGTGTAAGTTTTATGAATTCGTTATATTCCTAGTATTTTTCTCCTGTAAAAACAAAGGGGGAGGGAAAGGAAACTCACACACACTACTGCTTTGACATTACCAATGTATTGGTTAGCAGTACTGGCAAGAATGAAAAAGAAAGGCTGTTGCTCGGTGGGGTGGAATGCAAGGAATAGTCACTTAAAATTTTTGTAAACCTGATTCTATCATCATATTCGTTAAGGTAAAATGCATGTAAATCATTTTGCAGTTGTCCTCTGAACTTAGCTTCTCCCTACTTAACACATATTTGCGTGCGTTTGAGAATAGAGGATGACTAACAAAGACAGGGCTGCCCCTAACCTGCTTTCTTCCCCTCCTTCCCCATTGACAAGATTTTTCTTGACCGCTCTTTTAAAAATATATATATTTAATTTATTTTCTTTCTTTCTTTCTTTCTTTTTTTCTCTCCCAGCTAACCTGCAAATGCAAAGGTCAGCTGAGGAAATCATTAAAGAGGAATTCTAAAAGAAGCTTCCAAAGCGTTGGACCACCCTACAAGAGAAAGGAAGGGAATGTTCGGGGGAAGCTAGGGTTCTGGGAAGCAGGAGAGGGGGCGAGCGCCCCCGACACCGTGGCTTCTCCCGGCGCTGCCCTAAGGGAACAGGGTGGGCCTGAGGTCCTGCACAAGCCTTTCCAAGCCCCCACTTCAAATGTGGGGAGGGAAAAGTTCAGAAGCAGCCACAAGGGGACAAGAGCCTCATTTTGCCAGTTCAACGGGACGGGACATCCAATAAACAGAGCCGTCTCTGGAAACGGGTCGAGGCTCCAGTTGGCTCCACGGAGACTCAAGCAGCCGCTGCCGCCGCCCTCGCCGCCGCCGCCGCCGCCGCCGCCGCCGCGGCCCCTGCGTTACTGGGGGAGACGGTGCCGCTGCGACAGGGGAGGACGCGGCTGTAGCTCAAGGAGGCTCCAGCGCGCAGGCGCCGCCGAGCCCTGCCTGGAGGCTCAGTCAAGGCACTAAGGCAAAAAAAAAAATCAGCAATTTATAGAAAGAAGAAGCTATAGTCTGTCGGGATATCCAACACCAACAGGTAGGAGCATATACTCTCGGTTAAGTTTGGGGGGAGGGGGACGCACAGTGTTGATGAAACTGCAGGTTCACCGGCACCGAGCCCTCCCTGAGGTTTTTTGTTTTTTTGTTTTTTTGACAATAAACTGCATAATGGAAGTACATTCAGACAATGCATCTTCAGTAGGGCTTATTGAGAGCTCCATTTCTGGAAAGCGTTGCAAGGCTGAGGAATATCAGACTGCGAATCACCGGGAACAGTTCCCTTGCAGCACAGAAGCAATCTCTCTCCCCATCTTCGCGTATGTAATGCATGTCTCTCTCCCCCTCCCCCTCCTCCACCCCACGTTATAAATCCAGGGGTGGCGGATTTCAGGTTTCGTAATGTTGCATGATGTGATCGGTATTTACCCGGGGATGTACCGGTGGGGAAATTAAAATCATCGAACGCAGTTTTGGCTGGGCTTCCATCAGCATATTCCGGGCTAGGGAGAAGTGGCAAAAGAAACCTGCTTCGTGGGAATAACAGAGGAAGCCGATTTTCCTAGTGTGGCTCTCAGGCACCTAAGAGACAATGTGCATTTTGTTTGAAAATGAAGCCACTTGCGATGTGCAACAAAGATTATCAGTGTAAGTAGGAAAGGCTTAATTGCCCAAGAAATACAGGTTCATGTTAAATTCATTTGAATCCAGGCAGCCAAGGTCTACAAATGGAAGTGCATTATTCCTCTGGGTGTGTTTCTCTGGCCAATATTTACATTAACCATTTTCAGTAATCATGTGGGTTTAAAAGAGAAAAGATTTACCAAAAATGGGGGGTAGGGTGGAGAGGAAAAGACAAAAGATTAAATCACATCAAATCCTGGATAAGTTCCTATTAATTTCGAAGTCCTATGTTGAAATTATGCTTTAAGATGAATCAACAAATACTCTTCTTACAATATGCAGCATGAATAGTGGCACTTGAGTTAAAAGACATATTTTGCAAGGGCTCTTTGAATTCATATCACCAGAAAAGCTGCCTGTAAAATACTGACAGACACTAACAGAACTGAAATAAATGTAGGTATTCTCCTCTCTGTCTCCTATTAGCAATCTTGTAGATTCCATTGTAACAGTAGTGATTAATTCCTGGTCTGGCATATTTTATGATTGTGGAACATTTTATTCCTTCAGTCCTAAAGGTACCCAATCAAATTTATGTTCTCCAAAATGGGGACATTTTTAAATTCATCTAGTTCAGAAGACTAAACAAGCCAATTCTCTGACATCTCAAGCAAAAATACTTACTACAGCAAATAATATTATTCAAAATTAAAACTTTATTTGCTTCTCCATAAATGAACAGCTTTATGTTAGCACTGCCTGACATCATTACTTGTTAACTTAAGAACTGATAGCTCATTTTTTTTCCAGATATTCTGATGGCAAATCAAATGGAAGAAAAGAGGAAGCATGACTGCAGATTGCATCAATTCTCTTTGTGGATTACATTTTCAGTAAAATGTATGGATCTATCTTTTCCTTGTTCTTATATCTAGATCATGAGACTTGACTGAGGCTGTATCTTTATCCTCCATCCATCTATGGCGAACTATAGCCATGCAGCTGACAACATTTTGCAAAATCTCTCTCCTCTAACAGCCTTTCTGAAACTGACTTCCTTGGGTTTCATAATAGGAGTCAGCGTGGTGGGCAACCTTCTGATCTCCATTTTGCTAGTGAAAGATAAGACCTTGCATAGAGCACCTTACTACTTCCTGTTGGATCTTTGCTGTTCCGATATCCTCAGATCTGCAATTTGTTTCCCATTTGTATTCAACTCTGTGAAAAATGGCTCTACCTGGACTTACGGGACTCTGACTTGCAAAGTGATTGCCTTTCTGGGGGTTTTGTCCTGTTTCCACACTGCTTTCATGCTCTTCTGCATCAGCGTCACCAGATACTTAGCTATCGCCCATCACCGCTTCTATACAAAGAGGCTGACCTTTTGGACGTGTCTGGCTGTGATCTGCATGGTGTGGACTCTGTCTGTGGCCATGGCATTCCCCCCAGTTTTAGATGTGGGCACTTACTCATTCATTAGGGAGGAAGATCAATGTACCTTCCAACACCGCTCCTTCAGGGCTAACGATTCCTTAGGATTTATGCTGCTCCTTGCTCTCATCCTCCTAGCCACACAGCTTGTCTACCTCAAGCTGATATTTTTTGTCCACGACCGAAGGAAAATGAAGCCAGTCCAGTTTGTAGCAGCAGTCAGCCAGAACTGGACTTTCCATGGCCCTGGAGCCAGTGGCCAGGCAGCTGCCAATTGGCTAGCAGGATTTGGAAGGGGTCCCACACCACCCACCTTGCTGGGCATCAGGCAAAATGCAAACACCACGGGCAGAAGAAGGCTCTTGGTCTTAGATGAGTTCAAAATGGAGAAAAGAATCAGCAGAATGTTCTATATAATGACTTTTCTCTTCCTAACCTTGTGGGGCCCATACCTGGTGGCCTGTTATTGGAGAGTTTTTGCAAGAGGGCCCGTAGTACCAGGGGGATTTCTAACAGCCGCTGTCTGGATGAGTTTTGCCCAAGCAGGAATCAATCCTTTTGTCTGCATTTTCTCCAACAGGGAGCTGAGGCGCTGTTTCAGCACAACCCTTCTTTACTGCAGAAAATCCAGGTTACCAAGGGAACCTTACTGTGTTATATGAAGGAGCATCTGGAAATCTTTAGCCTTGTGAAACACTAACCTTCTCTGCTAAGCAATTGTGGCCTGTAGCCATATCTTGAGAAGAAAATCAAGAAGGGGATCAGCGATTATAAGGATTTGGGCAACATTCTGCAGTCTTTGCAATAGTTCACCTATAATCCTATTTTAAATCTCAGAGTGATCCTGCTGATTGCCGGCGAAGGTTTGTAATTAAGAAAGGACTGAACCACTGCCCTAAGTTTCTTTATGTGGTTGAAAACTAGATAATGAAAGTAGCAGGTGCTAAGTATCAGTGCTAAATGCTGTGTATATCACTACTTATGAAAAAAAAAAACATCAAAAAAAACAATTAGCATTGGACATCTTAATAAATTAAGTTGACATGAGGTAAATGTGTTGATAAAAACTAATTTTAGAAGTTTGAAGACTTTAAAACATTTCATACTATTATTGTTTTGCAAAGACTAAAATATTTGGGGACTCAAAGTACTGTAATCCACTAAAGACGTGCCATGAATTATTGGATTATACACTTTTAAAAATTCGCCTTGTAAGTTTTGGGGAGCATTCCAAAGCAGTATATTGGTTCCAATTAGAGTTTACTCTTTTTTTTTTTTTTGTATTAATACATTACTATTTCTACTTACCACTTTCCTTACCTACTAGTGAAATTGCTAGCATTGAACTGTATTACGTGGTTTTGGTTGATTTGGTATAAAGTTTTCCCAATTCATTTATATTTTACAAATGCTAGATACTGGTCTAGGAGGCAACATTAAATGGTACCAACTGGTCACAATTGAGTAGTTCTAATAATGCAGAATAAACACATGTTGCCTTAAAGGGTTATCTAGTATCTTTCATCTTATTTAGCACTGGAGCAAATAGTCAAGGGAAATTGACTGTTTAGTAACTGGTCATGGTCATGCATCTGGAAGTGCATGGACGATCATTTAATACTCTTTTTCCTTTTTCCTCACATGGTTTGAAAATTAAGGTGCACATCACTGGGATAATGAGATTTTCTTCTGAGGTGTGCTACCCATTCTAGTGTGTTCTAAGAAGCAGGCAGTTGATGTATGTTTATATTTGAAGTCAGCTGTCAAGGGGAGACCACAGCCTTAGTATGACATCCTGCACAATTTGTGAAGCATTTATTCTACTGAAGGCACAGTCTTGTTTATACTTTCTGCACATTCAGTGTATTGGTCGTTTAAATTATTTCAGTTTTAACTTGTGAAAGCTTATAATATGATTTCTGGTATTTTAGAAATACATTAGAGTCTGTGAGTCTCATTCTTTAAGATACAGATGTGTGAATTTCAATATAAAGTTGCATTTGCCAAAATTTACCCGTGTAGCCTGTTACTTTCCTTGGAATAACTTTTACATTTTTGGCAATTAATTTCTTTTGACCTGGGAGGCAAGCACAAACTAGGAAGGCTAGCTTTATTATGGTTTTGCTTTTTTATTTTTGTAACTATTATATTTTGGAACTGGAAATGCATGACTGATAGGGAGCATAAAGCTGATAAACTGACAAATAATATCTACAAAAGCATTATTTGATAGTTTATCATAATCACCCCTCTATTTATTCTTATAAGGCAGTATTATTTAGAGATATATACTTGCTTAGTTAATTGGTTCAGAATTTTAATATAAAAATATCACATTTTAATTTGGAGCATAGAAATTTGGGGTTCTAAATATATAATATCTAAAAAGAATAGCTTACCATAACATGACAAAACCAAGAAACATTGTTTTTGTTTTCCATTGTTTACATTTGTTTGTTTTTGTTTTTGCTTTTGCTTTTTGGTACTTGAAAATATGATTAGGAATCTAATGGAACAGAATTCTTTATTGCTACAGTACTTCTGTAAAGAGAACATCAATATAAATATAAATAAGGAAAAATAAATCACTGGAATGTTTCAATGATATATGCAACTATTCAGTTTTGCTCATATAAGGACACCTCAAGCCATGATTTAGCAAGCACTGTGTTTGACCTCATTTTACTTTATACCAAAGTTGATTAGATTTGAGACAAAGTTTAATGTACAACAGTGAGTTGAATCTAGCAATAAAGGCCCCTTGTTGGTACTAAAATCATTATCCAAAATGCAGAAAAGGAATGTTATCAAAAGATACTCTGATAACATTATGTTTCCAACTCAAAAAAAATTTTTAGTAGAGGCATAATCACAATGATTGTATTTATAGAAAACTTTGCTTAGAGGTTCGATATCACCAGCAATCTGTAGAACATTCAGCAACTGTCTTGCAGCCAGAGATCAGGTTTTATTTTTACTAGCTCCCATAACATAGACAAGAAAACTGAGGCATAGATCAAAGGTGGGGGATTGAGGAGTCAAGAGCGAGAGCTGAGTAAGATTACCTGACTAAACCTAGCTATATGGAACAACAGATTCCAAACCCTTTGGTAAGTGATCAGTGAATAATACAGAACCATAGTGACTTTCATGTAAGCCAATTTGGACTAACTTGGCATTTCGGGTTAAAGGGCAAGCAGTAGGTGAGATACATCCCCAGTTAATACCATTTGTAAGTCAATGAGTAATGGTAGCAGTCATATAAAAAATCTGCTTCAGTGTCTTAATGACCAAATTACATTATCTATTTTGGCACCCATTCCAATATTCAATATTTTAAAATAGTTGGTAACTAATTCAACTTGAAAATGTTACTAATCTTCAACCCCTAAAAATATTCCCACTGGAGAGTCCAACCTCTCTGGAGAAAGGCTCATTACTAATAATAATGTGTCCCTCTTAGACTAATTACGTCTGAGCTGAACAGTCTTTAAATTGTTTTCCTTAATAGTGATGATATGTTTGCATGGATGTGTCTATACTACCTCATCTGGTTCCTTTGGTGCACAGTGGATTTATTAGTGAGATGCCTGGCTGGAACTAGGCATTCAGTCTGTGACTGTGGAATCCTATGCAGATATTAACTGAGACAGAAGGAGGTGAGTAACTTGCCCAGTTTCCCAAGAGGCCCCATTTAAATAACATAAAATTAACCAAAGTAATTAGAAACAATTATTTGTAGGACAACCGATTGACTGAATCACCTTCAAGCGTTAGCTGGTTGGATTTCAGCACCAGCATTTTTCACAGGTTAGCTGATTTGTTATTGCTCACACGCAGATATGGCCACTTATCCATTTACCTCTACTTCTATGAATGCTACCTGAATTGCTTATTAATTTATGTATTCATTCAACAAATATGTATTGGGCACTGGGCATGGTGCTAGGAGCGCAGTGGAAAACAAGACAGAACAGTCTCTCATGAATACTTATCTAGTGGGAATGACAAATACGTAGTAGCAAGAAGTTACAAGTGTTATGATAGTAAGCATTTCTAGGATAGACTTGGTATTAATGGCCATTAATGGACTGTTCTCCATTTTTCCTTCAGTGCCTTAGCTCCTATGTTTTCCCAATATTCCTTGGGATCTTTTATATATCACATTCCCTCAATTCAGAGGGAACCTCTTCTTCTGCTCACGCGTCATTTAGATGAATCACCATGTTACTTTGGGAACCTGAGTTCCCATGTTGTTAACGCTAAATACACAAAATAATGGCAAAAACTGAGTGTTAAAGTTACTCCCGTGTCCTGATTATCCATTTCCACAAGTGAGATATTTCAGTTCCTTCAAGAAATATGGAAATGTCTTTTCTTACATGTTCATACCTTCCCACGAGGTAGCCATGTGAATGCCTGGGTAAAGTGTCATCAAAGAAAGCACTAAGAAGCCAATTCGTGGGGCTCTCCCATGGTGCTCAAGCAATGATGGGAATTACCTGTGAAACAGGGTATATATCTTTATTGTTAAAGCACAACACTGCAAAGTTTCTAATGCTCCTTATTATAGATACCATAAAACTCTCTAACCCCCTAATCTGAAAAGTTTGTTTGGCCTCCAAAAGTTATTTCTATTGCAAACACAACTAAACATATTTGCAGTTATATAAAGACCTATTTCTTTTCAGCTAAGCCATGTAATAATGAGTTGTGGTGTGGCAAGATTACTGTAGGACAGTTTGTAAATAGAACCAAACTTCACTTCTGTGTATTTACCACTAGATACATTTACTTTGTTCCATTTTTTTACTCTACAGTGTTATTTAAAAAAAAAAAACATAAGAAACAGTTTATATTAATTACATATTTAAAAAGAAAGGAAAGAAAAGAAGATGATAAATGGTAATGCTTCAAATACTGGTTAAACACATTAATTAAGGTAGATGGTTGCCAGAATTGTGGGTTATTTGCAATTCCAAAATCTTGTGAGTTTGTTTTTCTATGTAAAAATACATCATTTTCATGTTTGTTAATATTCCCTTTTAAATGTTTTGAATGGAAATTGCAGGGTCTACAAGGATAATTGTTTATTGCTGACTTTTTTTATTATTGTTCTCAAATCTGGGCATGCTAGTGTTCTGTAACTTCCCCCAATTCCCTCAGAAACTCTTTTTTACACCATATTAAAATGATAGAATTGCTTAATTTTGAGGCACAGGTTCATAATTAGCCTAAATAGTGGTTAAAATGAAGATATTGTTTATAGGTGACTGGATTATTTATGCCATTAGTCAAACAGTCAAATAAGTTAAAGGCTTATTGAGAGAACTCGGGCAACAGAGGGAAGATGGTTTTGGGGGGGCTGGGGTTTTTTCTGTTTCTTTTTGGCTAAATGTTTGCCTTATACTGCAAGGTAACAGGTTCTAAAAAATGTATTAAGACCAAGAGGCTTTAGTTTTATAAAAGGATTATATAAATAAGGCCTAGCTTTTAAAATGGAGAAGGAGCTTTTATATCATCTCCTTTCCCCAAAGAAATGATGTCCATTAGCTGCTCAAACTTTTTGAGTTAAAAGGCTTTTAAGCCAGTTTTTCTCCCACCAGATCAGGCAGTTAATACATGGGCTGGAGCCCTGGAAGAAAGCAAAGAGAATATGTTTTCCTCTAAGCAATTGTAGAAAAAGGCCTCAAAAAAGCTACAGGTGGTTTGGGGCTTGGAATTATTCATACTTGAAATTCACAACCAGCCCATAGTTCCTTCTGATGCCACCAGACAACATTATCCTCTGAAAGACACAAGTTTTTCAAGGTTAACTTAAAGGTGGAAAGTTCTTTTTTCCCTCTGTTTGCTTGGAAAATAATAGATTCTTGACACAAAAATTAAAATTTATACTGTAATGTACACCTTGGTTTATGGAGTTTTAAATAGACAATAACATAACATTTAACTTATACGGGTGTTCAGGATCATGGGATGAGGAAGTAAGTATTATAATACTTTGAAAAAGCTATTATAATGTTAAAAAACTTTAAAGCTGAGTTGACAGTCAAGCTTCAACTAGCTAAAGCTAATTAGTTGTTTCTTTTCATAGCT